AAAGAAAAAAAAAAAAAGAAGGAATTGTTAGTTCCGGTATAAAATTTTCGCCACCCCCGAATTTTATTACACAACACCCGGAGTTGCTGAAATAATCGATTCTACGATATTTCACGAAGAATGTATCGATAATCACCCTTACGCGTTACGAATTCTCATAATTCATCCAACGTCGTCTTCTACGTACTTCTCTGCAAGTTCGAAATCTTTTTCGTTCAAACATACGAATATTTTTCAAAAATAGCAACATATTTGGACCGCAATTTGATCAATTGCACCATTCCAACGCGTTAGGTTGCTTTCATTTCCATTAAATTTAATTATCCTCTCCCGTGGTTCTCCTTTTAACCATACCAATCACTCCCGAGTAATCCATTAATTACTAGATAGCCAAACTCGGTTTACAAATTTGTATACAACTCCGTGGATATTTACTTGGTGGATAAATTAGAGAAAAAGAGCAAAAGAATCTTCACCCGGAAATGTCAGCATCGCGATATTATGACACTGAAACGAGTTCCTTTTTACGATGCCGAAATGGGAAGAGCATGAAAGCTAATAAATTAAGGTGCATAACCGCTTATCCCCCGGGGGGTTCCCTTCCACGTCTGGCCGCGCCGCAAATCCGATTCGTCGATTTCATTTCGTCGCAGCTTCCTCTTTAAATGTTCTCCTTTCTTAACAACACTAACGTCTTCCGGGCAAACTATGACAAACGTTATATTTTCCGGCCTGTTGCGCTAATAAACAGCTTCTGCTGCGTTCACATGCACAGAGGTGCCAAGCAGGAGTCGTTGAAGAAGAAGCAGAACGCGAGGGAACAGCAAACCGCTAGCAGAAGTCATCAGCAGGCGAACGCAGGCCAGAACAAGTCCTCGATGAAGCCGAAGCTGACGCACCGTGGTCTAGTCTCGTTGGTAAGAAAATAATGCCTGGCCACGAGACTGCGTGGTCTCGTCGGAAATTAAACGAACAGGGAGCACAGCACCGAGAGGACGCGAGCATGTAGCTTGATTAGGTCTACTCGATTCGATGCCAACCTCGAGGACAACCCTCGTCCGGACGATTCGAGTTGTATTCGGCGAAGAACGCTTCCGGTGTCGATGCTCGGACTCTCTACTACCTCTTCCTCTCGGCAAAGGAACCGGAAAAATTGTTTGGGAAAAATAATGAAACGATATTCCGAAGAAAAACCTTCCGCGAATCTTTCAAGTGCGAATCGACGGTAAAAAAGATACTGATAACCTTCTTTCGTCGACTCGGACGCAGGCTACCGAAGCAGATACAATCGTTTTCGTCCCTCTTCGTGGGGTTCAAAGATACATACATACGTACCGCAGCGAAGGATCTTCTTTCTTCATCCGTTCGGCAAACCGGTTCGACGGCTGAGAAGAAAGCGATCTTTTTCCAAAAGTTTTTACAGCTTCGTCGTTATCAAGAATGGAAAGTAGAGTATATATCTCGTACGTGCGTCCTCTGTTCATAAGTATACGTACAGTTGTGGAAGAACGAGGTAAACCTGAAAAATCGTTAAGTAATTATTAAAACGTTTCGGAGCTAGATGCGTGGTCTCGTTCTGAATCTGGGACCGGCCAAGAATTCGTATGCTCGATTTTAAAATGGAAATCTCACCGATTACGTGCACGTGAACTGTGCGTACGTGTGTGTATTTCTTTCTCGACCTTCCGTAATCGGAGTCTGTAACACGAACTCGAATTAACCCTCTATCACGTATAATCGGAATTTTATTCGCTTAGAAAAAAAGAGACAGTCGAATACATTTTTCTAATTTAGTTCGAAATCTAGATATTTATAATATCTATATATTATAAACGAATCGCTTGGCGCGCCAATGTTATAGTATACGTATGTACGAAAAATTCACCGAGTAAATAGAATAACGTATAAGAAATTGTAGCCGTACGAGTAGATAGGTGTACTTCCTTAAGTCGTACAAAGGGTTATAGAGGGTTAACCGACTCTGACATTCGTGTTTCTCGATTTCCTATTTAAATCGTCCGAAATTTTTTCGGTAATATCTAAATATCGAAGGTTGCCGGTTGAACGTCGATTCTCGCGTGATTCGTCGTACGATAACTGTTGCAACTAAGTTTCACGCGTTTTTTCTATACATATATACACATCTTAGATCATCCTCTTGCTCGAGTATACGATATTCTAATCGATCGACAGTTTCTCCGATAATCTAAGCTAATTATCGCGATTCGTACGAGACCAGCTGATGTTTATGAACAGTGGTGTACGTGTATATAATGCATAGCCGGTCAACAAAGTAGCAACGAGCAACAAGTTCCCTTACTCGTACCCTCATCTTAATCGTCCCGATCGAGACGAATGAGATCGGTTCGTCTTGTTGTCTATGTAGCCCCGGTACTCCTCTCCCCTTCCGCTCTGGTTAAATCTTGCGGCCATGCATGCACGTGTTTCCCGAGTGTATCGCCTTTATATGATAGCGTTGTAAACGGTAGGCAGATCTCTTCTCTATGTTGTAAATAAACGGAACGGGCCAGCAGCAGAGGTTCGGATCGGCGGGTCCGCTGCACGCGTTCCTCCGTCGTCACACAACGGAACTGGTTCTTTGTTCTCCGCAGTCGAGGATGTTTCTCTTACTCTCGACGTCTTCCAACCATCCGACGAATCTTAACGCCAATGACTCCTTTAATCGCCAATCGATTTACACCTGTATCATGGCGTATAGAACGGAAATCGCGATAGGACGTTGACGCGTGTAATTCCTTGAAAGCGACGCGTTCCTTGCGACTATATGATCGATTCGATAGTTGCGCGCCAACATCTGCACGCGTCTCGTTCAAAATTACCGCCATACCGCAGAAAGAGTCAATTGCGGATCCAGAAGTCGCGCGTCCTCTCTCCTAAAACAATAATTTCAATTAATATTACGTCGCATGTCTTATTTCGTTGTATTTCGTAATCATTTTGTTTCTCTTTTCCGTTTTCTTTTTCTTGTAATTTAAAGAAAACATTCGAAAATTTCAAATCGTCAAGGAAATCTATGTACCTTTGCACGTTTTCCTCAGAAAACACTTCTGGATCCGCCTCTGATGAGAATCTACCGATTGTAATGGATGGTAATGGAAGATCGATCGGGCGATTGAATTAAAATTCGAAGAACTGTCGTAAGATCGTCATAATTGTGCACCTTTCGGCGAGTTTATTCTACTCGTGGGAATATCCTTATTTTCAAGCCGTACCGCGTTCACTATGGAATATAGAAAAGCGTGATCGTAAACGCGAAGAACTTTCACACAGCCGATTGATTTATCGGCGTTCGATCCAACCTACGATTCGGTTCTCCTGAATAGGAAACGTAATTAGACACGAAGCATACTTTGGAAACTTATTTCATAAGCAAAATACGAAGCGACGTGCAGCCGAGCGATGTTCATGGCCACAGTCGCACGCGTACTCACGCTCGCCAAGTCGAGAGATTTAAGGTCAACGATGCAATATGCACGAGAGAAAGCGAAAGGAAGACAATTACGAATGCCACGAACGAGGCTTCTTTTTTCTTCCTTTTTTACAATCATATGGGTGTACGATTTACGTCACAATCTCGAAACGTTCAACGCGTTGACTGCTATGGGGGTAACCGGCCGCCACCAGCACTGAGCTCGTCAACGACGCCATAGGGGGTCACGACCTGCGATCAATGCTGGAATTAACGCTGAAACTACCAGAACCAGTGAAAATTCCGATTTCTCATGATTTAACAAAAGTAATGTGAACATTTATGGAGATAGAAACGTAATTATATGTTTACTTATCTTCGTTATGCCGTTTTAATTAACATGATCTTATATGTACTATATGTGAGTACATGCTACAGGTCGGTAGTTGCAGCGTTTATTGAAGTTGTTTAAATTAAGTAAATAATTATATTCGTATGATTTTTCATATTTTTAATATCACGACAACAACGTAAAGTACTAGATGCACCATAAAACGTTCGTACATTTGTATTCCTTTCTTTAATTTTATTTATTTATTTATTTCTAACAAGATATATATAATATACGAATATTATACAATGTGTACATACAAGGTTGAGCCAGCAGTGAACGCGTTAAACCAGGTTTCCATCCATTTTCTTCGACCCACCCGAAACGTTACCTTCCCTCGTCTTTTAGCCATAATTTACTCGCGTTCAAAGGACCGAAAATTGAATTTTCAATCAAAAGCATGCACAAATAGGGGCTGCAAAAGGTACTTGATATCGTTGCAATATCGATACACGCGACGCTCTTTTACGCTCTTTTATCATTTCTTTCTGAATTAGCTTGCGAGACGCGAGCTTCCCAAATAGAAACTGTGCATCGTGCAGAAGAGACGGTTACGATCATTTGTACATACACGCGCACGTAGCGATAATTTTGTAAAAGAACGAGAACTCTGAAGACATTGACGAGCAATATCTAACGCGTACACGATTGTAAATTCGCGAACTCACTTTGAGGATGACCGTACTAATTGTAAGGCGAACGATATATCCGAGATGAAGTCATCCTCCACTCGATCGTCGATTCTATCACAACGATCTTTCATTTTGTACAAACGATACGCAAGATCGATGAATCACTGGTATCCAAAATTGTACGAAATAATGTTAGAGGAAAGTTCGAATCGATCTCAAAGACGTGAATTATATATTTCCATATCCGTCGAACGAACACGATTTTTCGTCGTTGTATTGCGCGTACCAATGAAAATCGATACCTGCTTTCATCGGTGTCTATCTGTTCAATGTCACCAAAGATTACATACGTTCCTTTGTACCGCAATCCGGTACCAACGATCGTCAATGTACCATTAAAATACTCCGTTTATACTTTTAACGATGATCGACCGAATGCATGCTCGTAGTTATTTATTATATTTTACCCGCCTTCTTCGATATTTCTTTAAGGTAATTCGACTTTTATGTATTCAATTGCACGTGAAAAGAATGAATTTCAGATGGAACAGTTTTTGCTCTCTGTCCTTTGTAAACTTGTTAATATCGAACCGCACACGACGAAAGAGAACGAAGAACGCGTCACATATCTCTTAAGTATCGATAACGAGGAAAGGAAAAAGAGAAAAGGAAAAAAAAGAAAGAAACGATGATCGAACAGACGAAAGGAAACGATTAGTCGACGAACTAGCCATAAAAGTGTATTCGATTAGGAACGAAGGACTGACTATACCGAGTTTAGGATGGAAAACTCCGTTGTCGACCGCCCGTTAAAAACAACTTTAGAATTAGCGAAAGCGTAATCAAAAGTATGTTAATCGTGTACTTGAAACGGATTACCCGAGTTTCGCATAAAACTGTTCACGTACTGATTTACATGTATTCATACGTTAAGGAATTACCAGGTACAGTAGTAAGTTTATTAAAAAGAACACAGAACTGTGTACTATGTATCGAATTTCGAGATCCCCTGATTTCGTATTTACGTTACCCTTGCGTGAATTACTTAACAAAGATACGAAGAATTATTATAAGTGAACAAGTAAATGACAAATAAACGACAGAACGTTTGATCTTCGAGAAATAAAGCGATAATTATTCATCCCTTCAAAACAGACCAGGAACGAAATGAAAATTTCGAATGACATTTCTTCCTTCTGCGAAAGAAACTATCTAACAACATCGAAGAAAGAGGAAACCACGTTTCTTTTTCAAATTGAGAATTATTATTACCAGACTTTCACAAATAATTTTTATTTCAGAATTTTTGAATAATTTAAAATCGCGTTTCGAGCAATTTATACATATTCCGGGGCTTATATTTGATTCAAACTGTCGTAATACTTTCCTCGATCACGTCACGACTACTTACGAGTAAAGAAACGAGGTGATTAGATCGTGGATCTCGAGGAATAATTAAAAGGTCGTCGACACGTATTCGCCGGGTAAAGAGGACCCTTTCATTAATTCGTGACATCACCTCGCCTCGTCGACTCATTGTAAACAAACATAGACCACTAATTAACCATCGATCGTATTCTAATTAAAGAACGAGTATCTTTGGAAACTCTGGAGAGAATGATCAACAAAATTCAACACGAAGATGTACAACGAGCAAGAATTATATTCGTTAATCGTAAAAATGACACGAAACGAATATCGTTTAACGTAAATTATAGTTAAAATTAGCTCGTTAAAAAGCGAACATTGGAGAAATATTTTTCTAAATTTATCAGGGAAAATAGGCGATCTCGCGGTAACTCGACATACTTAACTGGTCGGCCATTTGCATAGAAAAAAAGGAAGAAGCGTAGATTGGATTGTAAAATGTTTTATCTCAGAACTTTGATTACAGGCAAAATTAAATCGTGTAATAGCTTCGACGTATAGGAAAATGTAAATCGTACGAAATATCCTTTTGTACTACATAAATCGATTATATAAAACGAGAAAAACCCAAAGGGAAGAAGAGAATATGAAATACGGGGTAAAAATTTCACATAAATCTTGGTGTTCGCTGTTTGCGTATATAGACAGAGGAGGAAGAAAAGAAGAAAAAGATATAAAAGAGAAATGGCAATCAAATGTCGCTTATTTCGGGGTGCGCCAGCTCTTCTTTACCGTCGATAACTATAAATTACTACGATTGAATAAAATTATCAGTCGAGACACCAAAGAAAGAACAGATCGTTGAACAGAAGAGATCAAATTCGTCTTAGGATCTAGTCTATCCGACGATGAGATCAAATTCATCTTTCGGCGATGGTGGAGAACGTTTACATAGACTCGCGTGTTATCTACAAAATACTTTAATCGTAATATTAATTAATAATATACAGATTGTAAATAACTAAACAATAATAAAATATGCTGTAACAAGTTCTTTCGCTTCTTCTTGCATCTCTGTCTGTTTGTCTCTATCTCTCTCACTTTCTCTCTCTCCCTCTCCCACGCATACACGCACACACGCATACACACTGACACACTAATTTGCAACTCGCATCGTCGAAAGTTCCTTTCCAGTTGACCGTAAAAATAGAAAAAGAAAAAGCCCAACGGAGAGCCGGAGCAGGGAAAAAGGCACGGGGTTGTTAATAAAGAAAAGAAAAAGTAGCATTCCTATTTTGATGAACATTTCCGTTATATCTAGCCTTTTCACAGCTTATTAATAAATCAATGAACGATGTCGCGTATGTATTCAGTTTCCTGTAGCTCCTGAAAACTCGGAAACCAAAGGACAACGGAGAAAAGAGGATGAAAAGGAGAGGAATGGAATAAGAAAGAGGACAGGGGCGGGAGCACCATTTGAAAAAACGTCTCACACGGAAATACGTAGCAACCTACCAAAAGAGATGGGTCGAGTTAACGAATCATGTGTAAAACAACCAATGGAAAACTTCATTTTCCGCTCGTTCCACACAACGTGACACCGAACACGCACACAAGCACGCACACTCACGCACGCACACACACACATACACGCGCGTCGCTGAGATACATAATAGAAAGAACACAAGCAGCGACGATAATTTTTTAGTAATAATAATACGTTGTTTCGATAACTCGTAACATGGTTTTCTTATCCTTTTTCCTTTACCTTGCGTTGCCCCTTCTCTTCTCTTCTCTTCTTTTTTCTCTCTCTCTCTCTCTCTCTCTCTCTCTCTCTCTCTCTCTCTCTCTCTCGCCTCTTCTTTCGTGCGAATTTTCTCTCACTCGGCAGCAACATTTTCCATATTGTTCGTAAGCCTCTCTCTCGATTACACGCGCGATTCTCTGCCCTTTTTCAATCTTTCGTTTTCGTTTATCTTCCCAGCAATTTATAGCGTAAATATCGTACATCGTATTAAAAATTCTTATATTACAGCTTTAAATATCGTATCCTCTACTATACAATGAAGCTCGTTCGTGGTAGCTATTTCTTAGTATTTCACCATTGTGCTCGTTCTAGAATCGGACTCCCTTTTACTCTCCGTCTCGTGATTCCGTTCTGCCTTCTTCTTTCTGTTTTCCTGTTGCTTGGTGGCAATACACGTTCGTAATTTAACAAATACATGGCAGCAGGAACGAAGATTCACAAAATGTACAAAGCGCCTGGTGAATCTTTGAACATCTTAAAATATGAATTAAAGGTTTGAACCGCGAGAATTTTACATGAACAGATATAAAACTAAAAAAAAAAGAACGTAAGGGGGAGACAGCAATATCTGGCGGCAGATTCGAAGAAGTGAAAAATATTTTCGTACAATGCACGGTTAATTTGAAAACCTAAGATATTCCAAATCTATCATGGTGTATTCACAGTTCGAATAATGTATTTTCCACTGGTAATTCCTCAATAAAATACTATCAATGTTCAACGTTCCACATTATTTATCGACGCATTTTCGAACGATTCGATTTAATGTAATAACACGTTTCTCATGCTAAAAAAAAGAAACTTTGGCAGCGTCTTTTTACGCACGAATCAATCAGCTCCTTCTTTTCTTCTTAATGTAATAATCATTAAATATCGATATACTTTAATCTCGAAACGTATAAAAATAATAATACTATCGATCTGGCGTAGTAAATACACAATATTACCAAGTCCTCAAAGCGCGAATTAAAATAATCGCCAAGGAACGGAGCAAACTACATGTATAAATATCGCACAAACAACGATTTCTCGTCGTGAAAGCGTCATGACGTCTACCTTCTGTTCGAGATGTCATCGTGAAAGTCAATGAACAAACCGCTTGATCGATTGAAAAAATAGTTCTTACGATTGTAATTTATGTACAGAGAAATCATTTTCAAATGTAAGCGTTTATGAAAAAAAAAAATAAATCACCATAAAAACTCGATTCATTAGTTCGTACGAAAAACATTTATAAAACAACGTGCGATGATGGTTTCTTGGAAATATTACGCAAATCATTTATATCAAATATGATAGCAAATATGATGTTGCAGTCTGATAAATTCGAGGAACACGGCTCATGTTTTCGAATTTTTTTGATCACTATACTCATTTATATAAACACTATTAGTATAATTTTGTAAATAACAGCTACACACTTCTGTTTATTAATCGCCTCGTTTTCCTATCCTGGAAACTTTCATCGCATGACATTTACTAATGCGCCTTATTTCTTCAACATTCTTTCGATCAATCGAGTTCCATCATCGTCAGAATATATCAAAGGCACGTGTGATTCGTTTAACAAACATGTGCCTACAAATAACGATCAATACAAGTAAAAGTATCAACGAATGATTCCGTCGAATGTCCTCGTACTCGTTAAAAAGTTGGTAATAACATGTTTCTGTATATTCGGATCGGATGGTTTTAAGACACATGAACTCCGGATATATTCCAGATGATACAGAGCCTTGGAAACTATTTTTGCATATTTAGATCCCATTGCAAATCATTTATCTAAGCAACTGATCGAATTTATATGCTTAAATTGATCGATTAGGAAGGACGTCGGAGCAACGAATTCCAATCGAGTATTATCAGTACTAGCTAAGGTCACTTGCCCATGCTGGCATTTGCTGGCAGAGTCGCGGATCGTTGTTGCACTGACAAATATGGCTTCAAGGTGGATCTCGTAGACTCTCTGAAATGTATAAATCGTTATCGATGAAATTTAATTTTCGCAGAATCATTAAAACTGATTTTACCAAGAAACATCACGAATATGGACTAATACAAAAGGGAAAAAAAGGAAAAAAAAAATAAATAAATAAATAAGCTCCAAAAGCAAAATAGCAATTTTTGTTTGTAAAGATAGTAGGAATAGATATCAAAGCCCCAATTCAATAAGAAAAAGCATCGTAATTTATTGTAATTTTGTTTATCCATATCTGGAATTACAGAGTTCATTTTTAAAATGTTTAAACCTTTTATTTGAAATCGATTTGTAACATATTTTTTCTCTAATCTTTAAATAATAAACTATTATATAATCATTTTTAATTAATCACATTAAATGATTTATTATTAAAAATAAACTCTGTACATGTAAATTATTTCACTGCTATGGAATCTAATATTTGCCGTGCGGAATGTAAAATATATTTTATCATTCTACATGTTATGTTTCTTAATTATTAACATGCAATTCTTGAAAAGAAAAAAGCTATAATAAGAGTTCTTTTATTATAACATAAAAGTGATTACTAACTGCAAAAGCAACAGATTCAATTGCTAAAAATCTCGAACGATTAATCGATTACAGGTTACAACTGTATATTTGTTATAATATCGCAAATACTGTTAAAAAGAAAATATAAACAAAATTATAATGAGTACGTGAATAAAATATATTTTCATTTTAATTCGTAATATTTTTGAATTGGTTTTGATGCTTCATTATTCTCACCAATTATATTATAATTTTCGCTAATGTTAAACAAATTTAAAATAAGATAACACGACGTATTTACTTATTGAAAATTTTGTTTGTTATTTTAAACTTGCAACAAAATTATTAGAAAAGAATTAACAAATGTTCACTTCTGATGAAAAAATATGCTAATATTTAAGCGCATGCAAATAACAATTGAATTGAATCAACCAATAATGCTCAATTTTAGCTTTGAACAAAATTAAACAAAAATCAACATCCGCTATAACAAAAGTCAGAAAACGCTAATAATTATATTAAATGAGTCTATTCAACTATATTTGTATATAATTTTGATATACTGAATAGAGCAATTATGTCGATTCTTGAAATTCTCAAAATTTCAAATGAAAATGATTACGCACACACTTGATAAGCTTACCTAAAATGTCATCGTAATAGGTTCTCAAATTTTTAAAAATTATATATATATATATAATAATATATATATATTATATATATATAATCGGAATGCACTTACAGAACGTTATCAATGGTGACCTTTTTTTTTTGTATTTTCACATTTGTTGAGAAACAGAGCGATTCTGTGTAAAGTTATGGGAGTGCAAGAGAAATCAAACGACTCTAACCTCGCTACACCCAATCATGCGATGCCACAATACAAGAGAACTACTTAGTCTCCGGTTACGTTGAGTCGCACAGCTACGCTACCTTGGCGAGACACGCTGCCCTGTGCCATCGACGTGCGAGTTCGCCTTATAACCACATTTTTGTACACGCCTAGACAATCTTGCGACCCAATACTTCTGCTCATCAGGACTACCAGCCAGAATTAATAGTTCGCGAGCGCTGTTTGGATCATAATGTAATTTACACGGTGCTATGGCATCCTCCTTTTTGTCCAAATGTTCCTTATGCACTTTTATACGACATCCTGTACAAAACCACGACAATTTAATGTTATTTGAAATATTTCATTTTAATAAACTAGATTTTCAATATTTAAAAGCTTCTGGAAAATTGACTAAATTTAAAAAAAAAATGATACGTCACATCATCATAATTTTAAAGACAAAACAGTTTCAAGAATATCTTAAAAATATTTAGGAGCTATATCAAACTACAATTTAAAATTTTGATATGAAATGTTCAAAGATAAGAAATATAACAAATGATACATAAAAATTTATTGAGAAAATTAAGTATTCGTACTTACTTCGACACTCAAGTGCTGGCGGTGGTCGAAACATGTGCCACAACTGTTTCGAGCATACCTCACAAGTAGTCGGCATGTGGTACGATATTGATACAAATTCGTGACCTTTTAATGACTGCGTGCCTGGTTTGTCCGTAAGTTGTGGTAATTCTACACCGGGAAGTGTATTTCCTTCATCACCAGGACGCCTTGCTTCGCCTTCACCAGCATACAATAACTATAAATGAAAAAAAGAGGATACAACTAAGTATATATATTATCCAATAAAGAATTATTAAACATATTATTCACCTGAAAAATTCTCGGAATATCTTTGGCATCGGCTCGGATGACATCACCCTGAGTAACAGATCTAACGTGGAAGACTTTATTTAAATCCAATATCAAAACTGGATCGGCATTTAGTTTATCATTCTCGCTATTGTAAAATATTATCTTCTTTGAAGAAACAACAACGTATTGTTTTTTCCATCCGTGCCTTTTAATGTTCTGTTTATTTGGCACGTTTAACCAACCTTCCAATCGCATGGTTCCATGTTCCGACAAAACAGAATCTTCCCCGTCATTTTCTACGGACGAAACGCTAGCGGTTTCTGAATTAAGCGAAGCGATCTTCATTTGTAATGTTTCTATTTCGGAATCTTTAGAATCAAGTTCCATTTGCAACCTCAATTTCGTTTGATTTTCCTCCACCAATTGTGCCTATAAAAATGTAATGGCATTAAAAATAGCAAAAACAAATATTTAAAAAAATGGACAATATTTAATGTTTTATTTACTTGTAAATCTTGTAAATCTTTTTGCCACTTAGCTGCCAACTGTCCATATTTTTCTCTTTCCTGAGTAAGCTCCTGTTGTAAACGCCTGCAATCTTTTTCCTTTTTCCTTAAATCTGCAGCAGAAGCTTTGTTCTTAGATTTACCACTTGAAGATAAATCTTTTCTATTCATAATCTCTGCCAACTTATTAACTGCCTGTTGTTTTAATAGTTGCTCGGTTTTCAGTTTACTGCTGAGTTTATCTATCTCTTCTGCATTGGATTGTGCTTTAGAAAGTTGATCTTGCAATTCTTTAAGCCGTTTACTTAAATCTTCCTTTTCTTTAAGATATTGATCTACATTTTTCTTAAGTTCACCTTCACTATCCTTAAGCCGATTTATAATTTGTTCTTTTGCATTTAATTCTTGGTGATGTTTAGCTACTCCATCTTTATATTCTAATTCCTTCATTGTTCGTTCCTTTTCAAGGTCTGCCACAGTTTCTTCAGCTATTGACCTTGCCAAAGCTTCACTATCTCCTCTCGCTAGAGATAACTGTAACTGATGTACCAAAGACCTGCGTTCTTCTTCTAACTCTTGTTGTAATCGTATTTTCTCATCAAGTTCTTCCCGAAGTTCTTGCGTCTGTGTTTTATAAAGTGTCTGAAAATAATAAGTTAAAGTGTATAACAAATATATCAATGGAAAGTACTAACATTCCTAATAATAGTTTGTATAAAATGTGGCTTTACCGAAAAATAAGCTTCTGCTTCCAATTGTTCTTGTAGCTCCTTAGTTTGCAATTGATCCACATTTCTTTGAGTTTTCAAGTGATGTAATTCTTCCTCTATCTGCCGTTTTGCTTCCCTTAGCTGAGCAACTTCACCAACTAACTGTTGTTCTCTGGCGCGTAATCGTCCTGCTTCAGATGACTGCTGTGCCAAGTCAGTCTGCAGAACGTTTCTTTTCTGCTGTTCTTGTTCAACCTGACCCTGTAGCACTTTTACCTTTTCCACCTCTTGCCTGTGCTCACCCTCCAGTTTCTGTAATCGCTGTTGTATTTGCCGATAATCCACAGATAGCATAGAAGTTTGTCTTTCTTTTTCTTGTGCAAGCAATTCAGCACGTTGCCTTCCACTTTTCTCTTCATTTAATTTTGCTTGTAATGCTGTTGATATTACATTAATATATAAATATAACTAATAATAAATTGATGAATTTAAATAAGAATGTACATCCGTAAATAGAAATACCATCGAATGCTCGCATTCCGAAATGTATAAAATTGCAATTATTAATAGAATAGATTAAAAAACATAAAATAGAATATTAATTATGTATAAATATAATTATAGAGTAAATACTTACACGAATGCAATGCAACTTTCAAAACCAAAATTTTTACAACATGCATGATATTAATTAGTTAATCATATTTAAATTTAGTATAATATATAATATATCTTGTATCGATACAAAAATAATCAAAATATTTACAATAGATTAAGATAATTATTAACCTTGCCATATATGTAAAAATAAAGGTAGGAAGCTTTAAAACAATAATATCGCAATTACTGAACGTAAAAGTGAATAAAATTACCTTTAACAACTTCCAAATTAGCTTCTTCTTTGGATAATATGCGTGAACGTTCCGTTTCTTGATGAGCAACTACTTCTTGATTATACCTAGCTTGTGCAGCTTTTAGTTCAAGAGTTAAACTTGCAGCTTCTTTCTCCAATGCTGAAATTTTTTCAGTTAATTGTCTATTATCCATTATTGCTTTCTCCTCTTTCTCACGACTATGTTCGAGTTCAAGATGAAGAGCAGAGAGACGGCTTTCTAATTCGACAGTTAATGATGACGCTTGTGATCGAGAACTACGCTCTTTCGACAATTGCCCCTACGAAATTAAAAGTAAAAGTAAAAAGGTAATTTTGTCATTGAAGCCAAATATCTTCAACATTTTCTTTTTCATTTTTCTTTTTTTTTTAATATAAAGTACTTACTTGTAATGTAGCCACTTCCTGCTGTAAATTATCTCGTTGTGCTTGTAACTGTGCTCTCGCCACTTGTAACTCATTTGCCATTTGTTCTGCAGCTTGACGAGCGACAGTAATTTCCGTTGCTTGTTTTCGTAATCTTGTTACCGTTTCTGTTTCTCTTTCCAATTTTGATTGCATTTCTTTAATTTGTTTTTCTAAAGTAGTTACACGTTCAGAAGTTTGTTGTGAATTACTTACATCCCTTGCTCTTTTAGTCTGCTCCTCGTCAAACTTTTTTTTCAATTCACCAAATAATGATTCTGCTTTTCTACGTGATTCAGTTTCATGCTCTACTCTACGTTGTGCTTCTTTATAATTATGTCTCAATAAAGTCAATTCTTTATCGGCTCTCCCTATCTCTTCACGTAACTCAGTTTCCCGACGTGTCATAGCTTCTAACTGTGTTGTTAAAGCTTTTTGCCTTGATTCTAAAGATTCTACTTGTCGTTTTTCTTTATCCAATAAATTTTCTAGTTGAGAAATTTTAATATCATCACTTGTACCATTATTGATATGGTTTTCTAGTCCATCTACAGATTCTTTGCCATTAGAAGCCATTAATTGATAATCTCCTGAATATGTAAAACCAATAAAAGGTAAATGATTTCCAGAAAATGCTTTTGGTACTGGAAAACTTTCTTCTGGTCCATCTTCTTTATCAACATCCTCGAAATTGCTGGTATCGTCATCGCCGGAAAGTTCTGGTACGACCGGAGGCACACATTCTCGTAAATTTTCAAATGTCCATTGATCATTTTTAAAGAAAGGATGATTTTTTATTTCTTCCACACCATTTCTTCCGAGGCGTTTAGTTCTATCCGTAAGAAAACCACATATCAAATTCTTGGCAGAATGGGAAATATCAACTTCTTGTGGAAAATGTAATGAGTTTCTATGATCCATAATTTTTGAATACGTTCCAACCAATGAATCCGCATAAAATGGAGTATCACCTACAAGCATCTCATACAAAAATACACCAACTGACCACCAGTCACACTCTCTTCCATATACACCTTCACCACCCTGAGATTGAAGTACCTCAGGTGATATATAATCAGGTGTACCTACTGCAGTATCTGATCGAACAAGACCATCCTGAAAAAAAAATACACATAATGATTATTTTTACATAAATATGCTAAAAAATACTACAAAGAATATAATACACACAGCATCCATCCTCATACAAGTACCAAAATCTGCAAGTTTTAAGTGACCATACTTATCAAGTAACATATTATCTGGTTTTACATCTCTATGAACAAATCCCATAAGATGTATTGCATCTAATGCAAGCACCACCTCTGCACAATAAAATTTTGCCCATTTTTCTGGCACATCGTAATTTGACATTAAGTTTACTAAATCACCACCTGGCATGTAATCCATCACCATGTAAAGATATTTTTGGTCTTGAAATGCAAAATGAAGCTGAACTATCCATTGAGAATTAGCATGTGCCATTATATCACGTTCTTCCCAAAAAAAAGCTGAATCTGAACGTTTGATCTGAACATTTGATAAAATGTATATAAATGACATGTGTCATATTTTATATATTTTTCATTTATAATATAAGTTTTATATATTTTACCATTTCAAATTTACTGAGTAATTTCATAGCATATACTTTTTGTGTAGATTTATGTCGTACTAATTGTACTTCCCCAAATGCCCCACGACCTATCATTTTTATTAAAGTGAAGTCATCTGTACGCATTCGCATTTTACAAATATCTTGAGCCACTGAGTCATCTAAAAATATAAATAGTTTCTGTTAAATTTCTCTCACAACAACAAGGATATCAAGATATACATCAAGATATTTTATTTGTTACATAACATCTGTTAAAAAATTTTAGGAAAATGAAATTTTTAATTAAAATGTATTTTTTGTAATAAAATAATTAAATATTCTTTATTTTGTACCTAAGTGATGTACTATTCAAAAAAAACAATGAAAAAGATTTAAGTACTTACATCTATTCATATATACTTCTATATTTTTCATACGTTTTACACTGGGATGATCACAATCAGCCACCAGGGCTTGGACTGTATCCAATAAGCAATCAATATTTGTAATGCTTCTTGGATCTTTTATACGTTCCTCCAGCACCCTCAGGCGCCTGCGCCTGTCCTCATCTCGTACTACATCCATTTCTTCTATTAGAAGCTAGGAATAATTTCCTTCAAAAATGTAATATTCTTTTTGATGCATCAAAAACAATGCAAAATAAAAGGCTACATGTAATATGAGCACGATTTATGCACTGTTGCAATACTGGATGGGCAGTCCATATTTCCTGAAATAATAAAACAATACTGGAATATCTTTTTTATAAAAATACCTAGATACATAGATATAAAATATATAAATTAATATATCATTTTTTTCATTATAGTACTACACAAACATTTAAATAAACTATAAGTCACTACTTTACACCATAATGAAATAATCAAAACTAATTAAAAAAAAATTAAACTCATACATATTATATGTATTATACACATATTTCTATACAATATAAATATCAATAAGGTAAAAATAATTTCCAAAATGACTTAGTATCCAATTTATACATTATATTTATATTAGTTTATACATTCAAATAATGAGATCACTTACAACACTATAAAACTAAACAAATGAGTCTTGTATTAAAATAACACAAAGTGAAAGTTTAAAAGAATTATCACTTTCGTGTGCATCTTCTACTAACAAAAGAAATAAAATAAATAACATATAATGTTATTTAAAATGTATTAAAATTTATGGAAATATACTACAGGATGCAATATATGATGACTCAACATGATGTATGTGCAAAGAAAGATCATAAAGAAATAGTGATTACTGAATAATTCAACAAAAATAAATATCTAATTATTTGGAGAAACAGAATTTGGAAATCAACATTTATTTAAATATTTTGGATGTTAAATTCATCATTAACAAACAAACAAAATTTTACCAGTTCATCTTGTCGCTTTTACGAAAAAATTTGTATAATAAAAATACAAATTGTAAAACATCATTAAATAAAGACAAATTTATTATTCATATTTTAATGTTTCAATAAAAAATAAGAAATTCACGAAATGACAAATCGAATAAGTCTGTCAGGAAGCTTGTAGAGCTAAGGTGGATCCCATGCAGGTACTTCTGAATCCGTCATAAAAGATTTTTTAAATATTCCATACTTTTCATCGTCAAATAATTAATGTCAGAAGAAAATTCATTCTAACGTACCTAATATCACGAATACCGTGTCCAGTACTCCGTCTAATTGAATAAAAATACTATAAAATACATTATTTTTCTACGTAAATTGATCGCGATTGCACACAGCTGAGCCGTGTATGCGCCATTGGAAAAATTCACAACGGTCATCAAAGCCAATGAAAACTCGTGGAAAACTTAAAATGATTTAATTTGTTTTCCGATTCATGTAAAATGGAGAATTCTCAATCTTTATTCGGATAATCTGGCAACTATTCCAGATGCGAACTCTCATATTATTTAATTTGAAAATATAGTAACATCTTCGATGAAATTTTTGGTTATTTGCACTACACTCGACACCGTTTAAATGTTTATTGTTTCGAAGTTGACAACATAAAGATCACTCTTTCTTCGTACATATATATTTATTTGAATCAAATAAAGCTTACAAAGTTTCGTATATTACCGAAAACTACGTTGAACGTCGTTGAGACGGAGCATCAACGACTTCGGAAAAACGATATAATGGATTGCAAGCATAACCAAGATGGCGTAGTATTCGGACGCACTAAGTGAGTTACGGGTTTTTGCATTTATACTATTTGGTTATGAGTTAAAATTTCTTCAGTTAATTGAAAGTTGTTTTTAGAATTGTAATTTAGAGCAATCTAATTATTCAATCTAAATCTATATGGTAAATTGCATAGTTCTGTAACATGAGAAAAATTGTTAGTTTCCCTGCGCGTATTTTGATGTCTATTGAAGTGTTTTACAGATTTTTTTTACCACCGTTTGTCATATTTTGTATTTATAGTGATAATGCGTCAGATTTTACAGTGATTAATATGTCAGAGTATTGCATTTACAATATTTAGATTTTTTCTTGTAACCTACTCTTTTCTCTTTCTATTGTATTTATTATTTATTGTTGTATTTATTATTGCAGTTTTAATCAATAAATGATACTGTGAGTCGCATTTATTTCCATACTCTGAATTTTGTAAAGATGGATTTGCCTTGTGATTGGCAATTTAATCAACATAATGTTTTACACCGAACTCAATATTTATTAGAAACAGGACTATGGTCTGACTGTAATTTTATAGTTGGACTAGAACCTAATCAACAAATATTAAAGGGACATAAATTATTTTTGGCAATGGCCAGTCCTGTTTTTCAAGCTATGTTTTTTGGAAATATGTCAGAAAAATGTGACATGATACCTATTCGAGATGTTGATCCAGAAGCCTTTAAGACTCTTTTGAAATTCATATATACAGATCAATTTAATGTTCATTGTTTTGAACTAATCTATGAATTATGTTATTGTGCCAAGAAATATATGCTTCCCTCTCTGGTAGACAAATGTATAAACTCTTTATATTCTGTGTCTACAAAAGAGGTTTGTAGAACATATGAATTTGCTAAATTCTTTGAAGAGTCTGCACTGATGTGCAATTGTCTTAATATTATTTGTACAAGGACAAATGAAGTTTTAGAAGAACCTTCTTGGAAAGATGTACAATTAGACACAGTATTAACAGTGTTAGATCAAGAAGAATTACATATAAGCTCTGAACTAGAATTATTTAATGCACTGGAATCTTGGGCAAAAGCTGAATGCATAAGAAAATATCTAGATCCTAATAATGGGAAATGTTTAAAGTCAGTAATTGGTAATGCATTATCAAAAATTAGATTTTTAAGTTTAGATGCTAAGTCACTAGCACATGGACCAGGAATATCATTATTGCTTACTCAAGATGAAATCTTTTCGTTACTGATGAATAATCTAGGTAGTGGACATAAAATACCTGAAGGATTTACAATTATTAAACAAAATAGAGGTACAAGGTGTAAAACATCAGTAATGGACCATCATAAAGCTAGTCCATCCATTTTCTCACATCAATATGGACAGTTGGGTAATTTTAAATGTTCTATACTTTTTATAAGATTCATTTTCTATATTTTTTATGAGATTTTATTCAAGCAGTGTCCTATCCACCGCCGTCAACAGAATCTGATAAGAGAAAGATACTAGTTACACCATCATCATCAATTCCAAGCCAAGGTCTAAAGAAAGCTAAATATTTCTATACAGAGGAACCATCCTGTATTGCAATTGAAGGTGGTATACGTGAGGGATCAAAATATTATTGTTTAAGACCTGTATGTCGTATAGATGAATGTTTTAATAATAATATACTAGACTGTTCTGTGACCTTTAAAGTAGACAAAAATATTTCTATATTAGGTGTCCAAGTACCTTCACAAGTGATGAAAGAAGTAAGTAAAATATTGAATATAAATACTATGTTTATTTATTACATTAATTATTGCAATACTATTTTTGTTATAGGATGTTAAGCACCTTGTTATTCCTTCATATACTGAACTTTTATATGCCCATCTACTTGATTGGGATGGTACTCGATTAACATACACACATTTTTCAACAAAAGTAGATACTGATACACTTGTAGAAATTATATTTAATCGATCTATTTGTATTCAAAAGAATAAGGTATACATGTATCCAATTAGTTATCTTAACCATTATAAAAATGGAAATCTTTATATATTATTGAAAATTATTTGTATTTTCTTAACTACAGGTTTATCGAATTGAGGTAGTTTTTAATAAATCTGGGTGGTACCCAACAGGATATTGTTCCCAAACTATGACCTGTGATTCTGTACTCTTCTCATTTGGTATTGAGAGTAATTCAGTTGATATACAAGATGGCCTCATCCGATCTATAATTTTTAATAAGTAATACCAATAATAAAATAGGCTTCTGTAAAAATGAAAGTTTGAATTTTACATTTTATATGTTTTTGTTTATTACTTTAAAGATAAGTTTAATGTACCAAGTTATTATTTTTAAAAAGTGTAATGTTCGTTATAAAAAAATAATTGAAATCTAAATATGAAAACATGATTATACTAATAATATGTAAAATGTTATTTATTTGTTTCTGTTACACTTTATTTAATTTTATACATATAACTGTATAATTACAAAAATTTATATAAAAAATTTATTTATATCTATTTATTTCATC